ACACACACACACACACACACACACACACACACACACACACACACACAAAGTGCCTATTTTTAAAACACCTGCAGAACCTTGAAAATAAAGTTACCATAACTGGGCACTGATTCCTTCTACCGAAAGCACTTCCTCACTAAATAACTATCTCCACAGTAGCAGAACTGTGAACAGCCATGTTTTCCTAGCTGTGACAGGACTTTCTGATACAGATCTAAGCAATTGGTCAATTATAAACTAAAGATGCACTAGGTTTTTTACCAGCTTTATTTCAATTTTTCCCATACCAGGACTCTCTTTCTGCTTTCTCAACTGCTTCTTAACTCTTAAGTTCTTTCTCACTGACATACTGAAAGAATAACCAACACTATACAGTAAGCTCAAATACCATGTGAACTGTCACCTCACAGTACTGCAAGTCAAACATGGACTTGTGCTGTTGCCTTTGATGAAAGATGAACAAACAAGCTGGAACATGCTAACTCTGAGTTTGAAGCCAGCCTGGTCTACAAAGTGAGATCCTGTCTCAAAAAAGAAAAGAAATCCCACCTGCCTTTGCCTCCTGGATGCTGGAATTACAAGATTAAACCACCACACCTATTTTACCTAATTTTTCAGAAGGTTAATTAAATGCCATGCATTACTAACAATGGGCTGTAATGAATGTGTCATTCAGTATGTTTGTCATTGTGCATCAGTGTACCTCCATCAACCAAGACAGGTGGCCATAGGATGCCATAGTATATAATATCAACAGATCACCATTACAGCTTGCTATTGACAGGAACATACAACACGGTATGTTGTAAGACTATTTAAAAACTAAATATTGCAAACAGTGTATGTTCTGGTTTGAATAGGCCCCATAAAGCCATGTGTGTGAATGCTTGGTCCATTGGGAGTGGCACTATTAGGAGTGTGGCCTTAATGGAGAAAGAGTATCATTGATAGTGGGCTTTGAGGTCTTATAAGCTCAAGTCTGGCCAGTGTGGCACACAATCTCCTTTTGCTGCCTGTGGATCAAAATGTAGAACTCTCGGCTTCTTCTCTAGTACCATGTCTGCCTGCATACCACCATGTTTACTGCCATGATGATAATGGACTAAACCTCTGAATCTGTAAGCCAGCCCCAATTAAATGTTTTATTTCATAAGCATTGCTGAGGTCATGGTGTCTCTTCAGAGAAATAGAAATTCCAAGGCAGTGTATCTTTCTAGAAAATTCTACATAACTCCATCATCCCCTTGATGATACAATGGCTGTTACTTCAGTGAATGTCTAAGGTGACTGATCAACAGTCACAGAGCTTCCCCAGTGAGGCTTTAAGAGATCCTTGGTGTATGAGAGGGCAATGAGCATCTGGCAGAGTAAAGCATGCTGAGTCACAGCCCCTTATCACTGCTCGGACTCACCTCAAGCTGGTGCAGCAGGGCTTTCCCTTTCTTGTTTATCTCTACCATCAATGTGAAGATGGCAACTTTAATATCCTGTTCTACCTGCTTTTGGTTTTGATTTACTTCAATTATTCTGAAAATGAAACAAGAGAGAGAAAATCTAAAATTAATGGTAGATTTTTCAAGTATTTAAATTGGTTATTTTAACAGCGAAATTAGACCAAAATGTTTTTAGTCTTTAAATGTTCTGTCTCCAAGTTCTATTTAAATTGTCTATAAGAGAAGACATTAAAAACAATAATTTAGTTAAGCAAAACTTGGAGAGTGAGTACATCTTAAAGAACATGGTCTTAAAGAAACATGTCACAGAGAAAAAGCAATATGCTGACCTAAAAGGATAGGACCCAGGAGTAGACCACAACTAGAATTTGTAGTCAAGATCAAACAAAATATCTGTTATGTGTGATATTCTGATCTCAGGTGTTTGAACTGATAATTTTTCAACAGACTGGAATAGAGAAGCAAAAGAAACAATAACAGTTTATGCTTCTAAAACGTTTGGTTTAAATACATAAGGTATTTAAACCACACATAAGGACCAGAGTTCAGACCCCCCCCCCCCCCCGACCCATATAAATGCAGCGTAGGTGTGGAAATCTGCCTGTAATTTCAGCCTGGGAAAGTAACGGTAGGATCCCCCAAGTGAAATGGCTAGCAAAACTAGACATATCAGCCAGATCTGGTTTTAACTGAGACCCTGACTCAATGAATAAAGTACAAGAGCAACAAATGATGATCCTTGACATTAACCTCAGGCCTCTACATATGTTACATTATACATGCACAATGTATATTTACATGACACTTCCAACACATATGAAAATGGGGGGGGGGGGTTGAAATAAGCAGCCAAGTAGCTGAAAAGGATAAAAAGCCTTACCAACCATAAACTGTTTGTAATCCAAAAGCTAATCTGATATTTCACAGTGAGTTTAAAAAAAAGATCTAGAAATGTATGCATTTACTGTCGATAAATAATTTATTTATAGTAGCATAAATGTAAACTTACCTGTTTTGGATTTGATTTCCTGTATACTTTATATATTTTGTTTTTTCCATTAGTTTGGTGATTAGAGTATCTATGATTACTTTTTGATTTTGAAAAGCTTCTTCTATAAATTGATATCTGAAGAAATAAGAAAATAACTTCACAATTATATCTATATAAAAAAGTTCAAAAGTTAAAAATCAAAAGTGTAGGGAGTCTTGTGGAAAAGTGGGAGGAAGGGTAAAAGGACCTGGAGGTAACAGGAACTCTACAACAAGACCAACAGAGCCAACTAACCAGGGCCCAGAGGGGCTTGTAGAGACAGAAGCACCAACCAAGGACCACGCATAGACTGGACCTAGGCCCCTACAGAGATGTAACAGATGGCCATCTCAGACTTCATGTGGGTTCCTTAGAAAGGGGTTTGGGTTTAGGTTTTATTGTTGTTATTGGCATAATTGTGTTACCTGATTTCCCTATAGAAAATAATTAAATGTAGTCTAACCATTTTCCAGTGTCCCAGCATTGGTATAATTATTATGCATTGTGTAACACATTATCATATATTTATTCTGTTACATTCTGCTTTGTATCTTTTCATTTTTCTTTTTACCAGCATGTGCTATTTATTTTTATTTATCTGTATGTTTGTGTGCATACGCATGCATTGCTTTCCGAGATCAGAAGAGAGCACTAGATCCCTGAAGATGTATTATAGAAGGTGTCCGATGTGGGTCCAGAGAAATCAATCCATGTGTCCTGCAAGAGCAGCAACTACTTAAGCCTCTTTGCTGATTTTAACCCTTCTCATTTATATAAAAACTCAAATTAACAAATACAATTTTCTTTACCATATTCTAATCAGAATATAGTATATTTTGGTAAATAGAATAATTAGACTTAAATTTTGATTCTGGTTAGGTGAAAAGTTGAATGAGTATGGTGATCAAAAGTAGCAGCTGTGGAATAATTTTCAACTAAAATGTCTGTCTTCTGTGAAAGTTACTCTGGATTTCTCCATCATCTGTATGTTATGTCAAGGTTTAGTTTTATTTTTTAACATGCAGGCGTCCATTTCTTCCAACATAATTTGTTGAAAACAGTAGCCTATCTACACTGAATTGCCTTGGCATCTGTGTAGAAAACCAATGGAAGTGTAGAATGATTCTAGACTCTGAATTGTGTACCACTGTGGCTATTTCTAGGGGTGAGATTGCTTTGTTCTCTGTTTTATTTCACATTTTCCACATCAGGGTCATAGTAGCTTTTTATACGAAATCTTAAAATCGGATACTGAGTTTTGTTAATTCATTTTTTTTCTTTTTTTCCCCACAATATTTTATTGATTTTTTTTTTTTGTGAGTTTTACATAATGGGAAATTGCACTTATTTCCCAGTCCTTCCCTAACTGCCCTCTATCCTTATAACCTCCTCCCCAAAAGAAAATAAAAAATTAAATTTAAATTAAAAAATCTCTCCATGGTATGTCACAGTATATATCCTTTTGCCTAAACAGCTTTAAATGCAAATATTCTTTGCAATACGTGGTCTGGTTTGAGGCTTCTGGCTTCTGCTGCAGTATCAATACTGGATCCTTACAGGGACTTATCCTTACACATGGATATCCTGCTGTTGCCCTGAGTCATGGAAATCCCTCAGCTTTGGTTCTGTAGGACTAGCTCCTTTTCATGCTCCAGCAGTTCCTAGATGGGTTAGGCCAGTTAAAAGCCCTGGATCTGGCTCTGCGTACTAGCTGAGTTGGTCAGCCTACCAGTTCTCCTGTACCCATGCCACAGGGGCTAGTTCTCCCCTCACTGTTCATGGGAGGGATGAGGTTAGCTTTCCCTTGTATAGCAGCTGACAAGGGATGAGGGGTGGAGCCAGCTCAGCCTTACCATGTGACATAACATGGCCCCAGGCACCAGCCCAGTTGACATCCATCCGCATGGCCTTTTTGTGGTAACACAGGCCACTTTGGACATCAACACAGACCCAGACATGGCCCTCAGAGGCAGCAGAGGCCCAGATATCACCATGGCCTCATGTGGTAGCACAGGCCTCTCACATCAGGATTTCCCTCACTATCTTGCATTTCCAGTTCCACCTTTTTCCACAGTGCACAAACTACTCTGCTTCTGTTTCTCTCCTATCTCTCTACCACATACTTGATCATAGTAATAGAAACTGGCCAGGCCTCTGTTCTTACTTTTTCAATAGTCATATGTGTGTTTTCATTTTGTCTGTTTTTGAGATGTAGTTTAGATTGGCCTTGAACTTGCTATGTAGCTGATGTTCACCTTGAGTTTCTGGTGCTCCTTCACACACCTCATAACTACTGGCCTTACAAATATGGACCACTTTCTTCCTTAAACAAATAGTAGCATTGCTATGTAGAAGACTTCTGAATTGTGGTGTTAAAGAATCTTTAGGTTGGTGCAATTGACAAATAAAGAGAAATAATATAATATTATTGGAAAATACTGAATATGGGCTGGCAAGATGGTCCTATCCCAATGGGTAAAGGTGCTTATTGCCAAGTCTGATGTTTTAATTCCCGAAACCACTATGATAGGAGAAAGTTCCCATAAGCTGTCCTCTGACCTCCACACACATAATGTGGTATGCATGTGTGCATACACATGTATACCTACCAAGTTTTAAAAAGACAGGCTGTCCTACCTGCTCAAATTTGTTGTGTCATCAAAAACCAGGAGCAAACATAGAAATGTTGCAAGGCAAAAATTTATTTTATGGCCAGGCCATATTTGTAGTCTCCTAGAAAGTAGGAAAGAGAAGTGGCCCTGACCAAAAGTAGGGGAGCCTTTTCATACTCAGGCTCTGAGAACCTTTGAGTGAAGAAGTGGAATTTTTGCAGTTAGTAATTTAGCTACCTATTTTTATGAACATGGAAAAGTACATGTTGTAGTGTTATGGTCAGCCAGTTCTTGGAACATGCCATGAAACATTTTATGATCAGCCAGTTCTCCAAACATACCATGAAAATGGAAACAATTTATGATGAATAAATCACAAGACTAATAGAGGAAGAACAAGTCAAAAAACAAAACAAACAAACAAACCAAACCAACAAAACTGTACCTTTAGCTTGGGATATGATTAGAGAAATACACCATAGGGAAATAAATCAAATTCTAACATTATGTTTAACTAGGAAAAGGAAGATAAAAATGGGAGTCAGTTGGCCTTAACAAAATTATGATTCAAGAAGTCTTTAGATACTCTTTATTTCAAGACTGTGGTAAACACCCAATAGTCACAGCTTTAGAGGCTTATACAGCTCATCTGACAGATGTAGCAAAAAGCAGTCAAAGATGTATTAGTAAAGTTTTTAACAGATTAACTATTTTGGTACTTCATAACCATGAAAGTTTGCTGAAAATAACCAAGCACATTCAAGATCATATCTAAACAGAAAGCAGCTTTGTTGGATAAATGGGAAAGACATTTGATACTATACCTTTTAACAAAAAGCTTTGAGTGACCTAAAACATGAGACAGCACTAACGAGTTGTTATTAACTTGGAAGACAAGATGGTTGTAGTTTTGGCAAACTATAGAACAGAAGCATGTGAGGACACAAGAGGGTAAACATCACAGAAAGAAGTTTAGGGTTGTCAAGATGGCATAGCAGGAGGGAAGGTTATCATTATTTCTAAACCAGAAAACCCAAGTTCCATCCTGAGCCTGACACGGTGCAGGAAAAGAGCTGACTCCTGCAAGCACAACATGTGTGCCATTAACATAGGTTTCCTCTCCTCAAACCCCCAACATAAATAATGAAATTAAGGTGACAGACACTCCTTAGACTGAGGCAGAAGGTTTTTTGTAAGTCTGAAGTTATTCTGATCTACAGTCAATGCTACATAATGAGATCTTTTCTCAAATAAAGAAACATTTTTAAACTACAAAAAGAGTAACTGTAAACCTGTAATTCTATATCCAGGAACACATTCTTAATATAAAATGAAGGTGAAAATGTGGGTGTGGTGGTACAGTCCTTTAAGTCCAGCACAAGTGAGGCAGGCAGGTGGATCTCTGTGAGTTCAGAGTCAGCCTGGTGTACAAATGAATTCCAGAATAGCCCAGGCTATATAATAAAGACCCTATCTCAAAAAATGTGAAAACCTGGGTTCCTCTATATTTGGTATGGCTTCAGTACCCTTAAGGTAAATGAAATACTGAAGAAGATCCATGAAGAAATAAAGAATGATTAAAATCATAGGTAGAAGCAAAGTTAAATGAATACTAACTTAGGCAATCAAAGTAATGTCTTGGTGTGTAGAGCATATACCATATAGTATAGGATATATTAGGCAGGAGACAAAAATTGTGTTCTAATAAGGTTCATTTCTAATCTAGGAAGAAGGTAAGTATAAATTAACACCAGATAAGGTGGTAATATCAAGAGTTGTCAGGGCCAGTGAGATGGGTCAGCAAGGTGTACAACCTGAGACTGATCCATGGCACACAGACGAAAGAAGAGAACTGACTCCCAAATAGACATACACAAACTGAGGTACACACAAACACACATGAACAATAAACTTATTTTTTTAAAAAGCCATTTACAACTGGTGGCACACAACTAAGATGGATCTCTGAGTTTGAGACCAGCCTGCTTTGTACAGTTCCAGAACGCACAAAGCTACATAATGAGATTCCTCAAAAACATCAACAAGACAAAAACAAAACAAACCAAAAGCAAAGCCTCACCAAAACAAAGTCTCCTCATTTTGTGACACCAGCAACTAATACCTTGTTATTTTAACAGCAGGTTAAGCCAGTGTAACTCTCAACATGGACTGACTTTGGCCTACAGGACATTTGGCAATGTCTTAGAATATTTTAAAATTATTTTTTTTAGCTGTCAATCATTGGGACAGGAGTACAGAGTACAACTAGCACCCAACTAATAGAGATCAGGATGCTAGTAACCCTATATCATTTCCCCAATGTACTGCCTGGACTAAAATATATAAAACTAACTAACTAACTAACTAACTAACTAACTAACTAACTAACTAAC